AAAGTAACGTGAACGTTTAAGTTAGCATGACATTAGGTTAACTGTGTCCTAAAGCACACCGATTTAAAAGTCCAACAGACCATGATAAGTTTACGGTATTATCATTTTATCAAAGATTAAAGCTACACGTGAAAAATTAGCAGTGGTTAGTGGTGCAGTGGTTAACATTGTCACCTCACAGCAGGGTGAGAGAGCCCTCCTGTACCGAGCTTGCATGTTCTCCCTGTGTTAGCGTGGGTTTCCTCAGGGTACTCCGGCTTCCTCCCACAGTCCAAACATATGCAAGGTTAGGTCAATTGGTGATTCTAAATTGTCCATAGGTGTGAATGTGAGTGTGAATAGTTGTCTGTCTATGTGTCAGCTCTGTGATAGTCTGGCGACCTGTCCAGGGTGTACCCTGCCTTTTCTACAATGTCAGCTGGGACTGGCTCCAGCCCTGCCGCGACCCCCAACAGGATAAGCAGTTACGGAAAATGAATGAATGAACATTAGTTAGCTAATAACATTTTCACCCACAGAATATGCAGCTTACTTCAATTCATTGTGGAGGTTAGAAGAGGAGTTTAAAATATCTCACAGCAAGCTCTTCATCAGAACATTTGCCATTTTTTAGATTTTGGTATAAAAAGTGTGGCCAGGGATTGTCACTAGAAGCTGCCGTTGTTCTGGGTTTTGCTCCGTCATGATCAGGTTGTGGTCAAAAGACAGATGGTGCTTCTTTTTCTTGCAGGCATCTGCAATGGAGGTGCTCCTCGCATGCTCTCCCCCCTTCCGTCAAGGCCCACATTTACAGCAGACTAGTTGTAACAAAAGTATACATAGCAAATGTAGTGGAATAACTGGCTAAAAAATATACTCAAATAAAAAGTGGAGGTAAAGTTTAAAAAGAAACATTGCATTTACTTGCTCCTTAAAAAAAAAATACATTTTATACTTGTTTGTGGTGTTACCACCCAACAGCTGTCACATAACACTATATCTCTTATCCTATACCATCATAATTTGTCATATTACACTATATTGTGTTCTAAATTCAGATTTTTGCATCATGCTCTATACTATATTTATATAACATCTCTATGTCAATACAGACACTAAGTGCCATTATCTGATCATATCACCAGTCTGGTGTACACTGTTAACATAGACTTGCTGACTCTGCTGCTATTTTTCACTATCACTGTCACTTTACCTTGTGGTTTTTGTCTCTATATGTTCCTGTATAGTTTTACCATCTTTTCATTTTATTCTTTTTTAATTTTAGTTCAGTTTTTTTCATACCTTTTATTATTTATTCTTTTACTTTCTTGCGTTCTCTGTGCAGCTGTAACAGCCCAATTTCCCCCCTGGGGATCAATAAGGGTTTATCTTATCTTATTTTGTGCAAAGTAGTGTTGTTTGTCAGGTTTATCATTTCTATCGCTGTGGTTATTATTTTTGTGCTTATGAAAGCATTTACTGATAGGTTGCTTATTAAACACTTCTTTTCAAAGAAAACGTTTTGTTCAATTAACCATGACTCATTGTAGCGTAAGCCCTCTAAACAACAGCAACAGAAATAGCAAAGGGGGAAAAAAAGCCTTTGAAAAGTGTGTTTGTTTGAACATGAAGGGAGGTGAATTAACCTGATTACAAAGTCCAAAAGTTAGCGGTGTGCTCAAAGGTTGAACCTTTGATTGCACTCTGGTGTTCTTGAAGAAAGTTGGATTGGAATTTTCTATGGAAAAGCAAACTTTAGTAACTGATGCATACAGGAGACAGAGCACTGCTGAAGTTCCAATAAAAAAACATTTGCTAGGTTTAACATTGATACAAAGGATTGATGTTTGGGATCATGGACCTGAGCCTGTAGATTAATGTTGACAGCTAAGATTGTGTGTCAGCTCACATATAGCCAGAAGTGATATATGTGGCTGCAAAGGCTAGCCATATTTATTTCAGAAAAGAAAAACCCAACACGTATCAAAATGGACTTTAACTGTCTACATGAAGATCTGTTTTCAAGACAGAGCAGTGCTTGTGTGGGTTTCCGCCAGGTTCTCCAGTTTCCTCCCCCAGTCCAAGCATACAGATTAGGTTAACTGACGACTCTAATTTGCCCGTAGGTGTAAAAGTGAGTAAGAATAATTGTCTCTATGCGTCAGTCCTGGCTGCGTGTCCATGGTATGCCCAGCCTCTCACCTAATGTGTGTTGGCTCAGACCTTTGTGACGCTGGAAATGATAAGTGTGTATTGATGAATGAATGGATAAAATCAAGCCTTGCTTGGCTGAGTGCTAGATGGGTGTAAAAGTGTATCACCATCACCACCCTTACCCCCTCTTTTAATGACTAAATTAAATCAATGACAAATCTATTTAGAGTGCTTTGACTCTTGCCATCACATGGGGATGTGGTTAGAGGAAGTGTAATGAGCCATGGGAGACTTGTGAATTGCCTCCTACTGGTGTGACGCTTTACGGGGGTTGTTTGCTTGAGTGCAGGGGCTTTGGCATGCCAAGCAGTGTTTGTCTGTCTCGAACAGTGGGTAGTTAGAAAAACACACCGGGGGGGGGGGGTGTGTGTGTGTGGAGGAAGGTGTAGCTCGTACCACCTGTGTTCACATGAATAAGTCACAGTTGGCACGTGGAAGGTTTTTTTTATTTTGCCTGTCAGAAAAAGAGTAGAAATGTGAAGCAGCTCCTCTTGACTCCAGTTCATTAGCAGCCTACGATCTCCTTAAACCATATTGCTCAGTTAAGCCAAGCCCCAGAGCAAAGTCAAAATTGGGCTGGGAAACGACGTTGGACTCTATCACAATAACCCTTCAATGAAGTTACCATATTTAATCAACATTTAGTACATTACTTTGTATTTTGCTGAATACAAAATGAAGATCAACGCAGCTGCACTCAAGCTGGGACAAAGTTTCATGGCGACTGATCTCAGGTGTTTGTCACCTGCATTTCTCATTTCTGCCGCTTCAGCTCTGAACAGAAAGGTCACGTCAACAGATCCAGGGGACAGATATATAGACAGATAGCTGGTCTGGCCAGTTTTCCACGGTGGCAGGATCTTACAGTAGCCTCTCTAGCAAAACTCTCATGTTACTGGTGTCTCATTTCACTAGCTCAGGGCGGCGGCGAAACTCACCGTCCTTGAGTATGTGCCCTCTCTCCCCTTTGTGTGTGTTATCTATTGCTCAACAGTCTTTTACCGATGTGTTCTGCTGCATTTCCTTACTTTTATTAAAAATCACTGTTCGCGTCATCACATTTGTGTTTTCTCCATCCTGTCTGTTTTTCTCACGCTACTTTGCCAAACATCATCCTAACGGAGCTAATGAGGTGATAACGTGTGGGCCACAAATCCTAGAGGGGGTCCTTTGGTCTTCTGTATGTCAACAAAGCCACAGTAACGAGGTGACTTAGTCATCGTAGAAAATACAATGACTGACTACTAGAGGAGCTTTGAATTCGCTTGCAGTCCTTATCCTTTTAAGGCCAAGACTCCATCAAAGAACTAGCCATGACATGCCAACGGTTGTGTCGCCTCACTTCACCTCGGCCAAAGAATAGGTCCTAAACATACTGCAAAGACTGCAGCCCAGTTTGTTTTGATCTCATTTCCTTTTGACTTTAGCCATTTGTTTGCTTTCCTTTTTCCCATGTGTCTTCACACACAGTTTAAATGCCAAATCAAAAAGATTTCACTCACCAATGGACTCCACAGTTTCCAACGCCAATTCAACATGTGGAATCAGCCAAAAATAGCACACAAGGGCCAACTATAGCCAACAATGCAGGACATGTCGCAAAAACTAGGGCTACAGACGCTCACCGAAAGCTCAACACTGACCAACGGCTGACAGTCAAATTGGTCTGTCAGGGCCCTTAAAGCTCTGCCCAACCATTATCACTGTCTCTAATAGGCACACAGAGTGGTAAAGTGTGAGGTTGAGCTGCCATTCAGTGTCATCACCATAACTCACAACTCCTGCTTTCCTCTGTGGTAGGACAGATGTCTGGTCATATTGAGTGCACTGGTATTTGAACTGATTGCCATATTCAGCAGCCTCTGTGAATACACAAGTGTCTTTATTAAGCATGTCAGACTGCCATTTATCACATCGATTGACAGAGTATAGTATGTTCAAGCAATATTAATAAATATAAATTTGTCAGGTTGAAAATTCAGATTTTCAAATCTGTTACAACACCAACTTTGCATCTTACTTATTTTTTTTTTACCAATACACAGGCTGCTTTCAAGGAACAGTATCTCAGTAAAATGTTGCTGATCCTTATCTCAACAAAGATGTTAAATTCTGAGAAAATGCACAACAGCTGTGTTACACATGTGACTGATTGAGGTGCTGCATGGAATCAGGAAAACTCTCTGAGGGCTTCTAGTGGGCAGGTGTGGCATGACAGGGTATAAAAAGCCAGCTCAAGGTAAGCACACAAAAACATGCAGAGACTGGTAAGAAGGGGAATCAAAGACAAGAAGAAGAGAGGGACATGGGGCATGCGGCACATGACAGGTTGCCGGGTTTGTTGACAAGACACAAACAAACAGTCCTGCACAGAATCCACGTCAGTTGCACGTCAGGCCAGACAGCAGACAAACAGCTGACAGCTGTGGAAAAACAGGGGTCACAGCATTTACCGGCAGTACAGTAACATAACTAAAGCTTGTGGTTTTTTAAAGTATGTGTAAAAGTTAGCTATTTGGCAAATGCACATTTTTAATTTTATTTTAGCATGTCATCTCTTGAACCAACAACTCTTTACTTTTTCTTTAGCTTTGATGCGTTTTGATGACGTTGAAAGAAGGAGCAAGCTTTTCAGGGACGGTAACTGGCTGGAGTGCTTTTTAAAAGAAATATTGTGTCTAGTTGAAATAAATCTGTTCCTCAACTTTATCTTACATTTATTTCTTCTTGATGTGTATCACATAAAAAAAAAATGTTTCGGCCTACAAAACGATAATGACCATTTTTTCCCTCTCCTGTTTCCCCAGACATGTCAGTCCAAGGTGTTTGACCTATCAGATGGAGTGTCCCAGTATGCATGGTTCCCCTGCCGTGAGGCCCATAAGACAACCTGGGGATATCCTAACTACTGGCTCAAGGTGAGACCTATCTGAAAAGACTTTGGTGTCATGTTTTGTCACTTGAAGATAATAGGCTCATTAACCTCATGTGGATATGCAACTTTAGAGGGTGGTGCCCAAAAGATAATGGACAAGGGCAAGATAGCATATGCCACTCCACCTTGTGTTGACGAGTTTCCTATCCTCAGTCCATTCCATTCTTTACTGCAGTACCGTGCAGTGTGTTATAGCTATAGACTGTATGAAAATAATGGACAAAGCCACCTTGACATCATCAATTGGTTTGGGGACTGTTTTGAAGCTATGAGTTTGCATTTTGGCCATTGTCATCTTGGATTTTTGGAGTCAGAAGTGACCCGAAGTGACCATATTTAGACAAGAGGGTGGCCCGCCCTTAATTATACATAACTTTTAGCTTTCTAAACAGGTAAGTTATATAAAAAATCACCCTATACAGTTGTCATTAATGTTAAAATTAGCTATAAAGACTAAAACTGTTTTTTGGTATCAGGCTCTGAACATGCTGTAAAGCATTTTAACACTGGGGTCTATGGGGATGGATTCACTTTTGGAGCCAGCCTCAAGTGGCCATTTGAGGAATGGCAGTTTTTGGCACTTGGGCATTTTTGAGCCCCAGATGTTGTCTCCTGGTTATGATAACAGCATGGCATCATTAATGTGGCTAAGAGTGCGCAATGCAGGAGAATTACGCACCAATTTGACAGCATATATGATGTATGAAACATGATTCAAATTAGAAACAACTAAGAGAAAGACATTGAAAGTCAGGATACATTCGATTTAAGTTATCAACATTTTAATTGACTTTATGTGTCATGTTTTCTTTCATTCAGGCCCACTTTTCTCATCCCATGGTGGCAGCAGCAGTGATCATACATCTGGCTGCAGATGGGACTGGCTACCTTGACCAGACTCAGTGTAACATCACTGTTCAGCTAGTGGACACCAAAGAGGGCATCCATAGTCTGGGTGAGAACTGTCTTCTGTACTTTTAAACTTTAACCCACTTGATTCACCTCCACTGTCGGATGGCTAAACGTGACTAAGTGGGAAGCTGGGCTCAGAGGAGCTTTACCTACTGTAACTAACTGGGACTTGTTTTAGTTGAGCAGATATCATATACAGCAAAGCCCCTTTAAGAGCATGTCACTCTCATCCGTCTTTTCAGCTTATGCAAATATCTTCATTAGATCACTGTATCACTCTTTCAACACCAGCTTGCTATTTAGCCCCCTCTTCCAGCCTTTTCTTCTCTCCTTATTCACTTTTAAGATAAATCTGCCACTCTGATTCCTTCTGATCTCTGCTTTTGTCCCTTGCTTCCTCAACCTCAATCTCAATGTACTTTTCTCTTTGTCACTTCTTCATCTCCAATGTCCTTTCCACAGGTGAGTGGCGTCTCAGCTGCCGCACCAACCCTTTGGTGATCCCAGTGAGCCATGACCTGTCAGTGGCCTTCTACCACACCAAAGCTATCCTGGTCATGTTTGCCTCTCGGCTCGTGGCCATCTCCGGAGTAGGCCTGCGCTCCTTCCAGTCCTTCGACCCCATCACGATAAGTGGTTGCCAGAGCAATGAGATCTACAACCCCACGGGCCAGAGGTGAGGCAGAGAAAAAGGGAAATGGAACACATGGAACACTGGTGAACATGAGGCCTACATACTGTATATTACACACACTTCACAACCAAAGACATGCAGTCAAACACGTGCACAACTTTCACAGTCTCTTGCCTTAAAGGTGCAGGAAACTTGATTAAGACGTTTATTTTTACAAATCTCTATATATAGATTCTATGTGATGTACTAGAAAATTCCCGTAGTTTAATTTGACACACCCTGTTCTCATTTGGACATTGTCAGATAAAGATGCTTTTTAATGCCCCTTGGCGTCTGAGAGTGACGCACAGGGCACCGTTTTGTGTATCTGTGTGATATACAGCTGAAACACATTGTAATATGTGATTGATGCATGATTAGGTTTAGGCAACAAAACTACTTGGTTAGGCTTTAAAAAGATTACCCTTTGGGTTAAAATAAATATGTTTAATATGTAAAGTGACAAAAATATGTACGCACATATATAAGCGACGACTGTAAGTAAAGTGCGTTAAAATATGTCAAAATAACATCGAATTTTGGTTTCACACGGGACACAAACTGTGGTCTCCTGGCTGAAAGTCCGGTTTTGTTTGACCAGTTCAGCTCAACATGGACTTTCTCGGTCTTTATATTATGTCAGTTGCTCACACTGGCCATGGATAGGTTTACACTGGAGTTAGTTGAAAGCCCAGTGCGTCTCATAAAGACTCTAAAGGGTGCCTTTGGTGTTGATATCACACGTCGATGGGCATGACAAAGCGACGGTATTTGATGCACTGAGAATGAGAACGGGCTCTCATCAAAGTTATGATACATCAGGATGGTAGGAGCACTTCTTTTCGTGTCTTTATAATAAATTCTGGAGTAAGAATTCACCTGTGGAGCATGTTGAAAGCACCAGTTTAACATGACAACCCATGAATGGCAAAATAATATCTGTATTTTGCTGTTAGGATTTTTACATATAGCCCAAAATCACATCTGTCTCAAAAGGCTTCATAGTTGCACAGCGGTCGACATTAATGAAGAAAACTCCACAGAGCAACAGCGGAAGGATCTGTCAGTCTTCCAGAGTCAGTCATACAATAGGTGCTGTATACACAGAGTAGACAGACATGGCATAAGTAGAAATAAACAAATATGAGGTGTAATTATTGAGAGAGTTTGACTTCTCCAGGAAAGGTTTTAAGTGTTTGTAGTAAGGGCTGTGAATCAGAGAAAATGTCTAGCAATTTCCAGGTGCCACCAAGCACCAGTCAGACCCCGACCACAAAATGTCTTCCCTGCTGCCTGGAAAGAGGACAGACTACACTTACACACAAGACGCAAGTCAAGAATACCATTCAGACAAATGGAGAAGAGGCACAAGATGCTAAGAGCTGTGTATGTGTGTGTGTGTGTGTGTGTGTGTGTGTGTGTGTATATGAGCCAAAGAGAGGGAGAGGCATACGTTAATTAATGATGCCAACAAGCTGTTTAATGTTACAAGTCTGCCCCAAAGCTACAGCTATAACTGTAAAAAAGTTCTCAGCAACACATATAATATCACTGGAAATTTGCAATTAATTTGGACCTGTTGCTGAGCTCCGCGAATTTCCAACAATAGAGCCGCCGCGCTGCCTCCAGCACTAAATCTTGTTTACCACCCCAGTTTGTTTTGTATTGAGTTCGGCTGAAGTGCACACTGCATACAAATAGTCCTTTTCTTTGAAAAGTCCTGCCAAAGCAGACATGATTCGCCTGTAATGCGTTTTGCAATGGGGTTCTTACTTGCCATTTTCTGAACTCTTACAACTTAATTAAATAAATGTCCTGTCAATCAGACATCAAATGTGCTGCCCAAGGTAGAGCAGTATTCCATATTTGGACATTTTTCTGTGTGTGATGAAATAATCCATAACATCTAAAAAAAAAAAAAAAAGAAGTAAAGATGATCAAATTTGGGTAGATATAAGATATTTCAAACAGGTGCTGAAAGACCACCAAACAACAATTAACACATATTTAACCACAAATTCACAATTTTTTTGAGTCTCTGGTACCTTTAATTTTAACTACTAACCACATGATGTCAAGTCACTCCTCACAAACATAGTTAAACCAGACCACACACGCACAAGGAGTCACTAATTTGCCAATTTCCACACCACTGTCATGCATGAGACGGTTCATACTGATGATGCTCCCACAACCCTTTCAACAAGAAATGCACTAATAAACACCACAATACACAAAGAATAGATGGTTGGGGGTCTGTGCAGAGAGATAGAGCTGTTTGTGGCTTTTGTTGTGTGCCAGTGAGACATCCAAGAGCACCTAAATAGATTAAAACTGCTCTGCATCTGCACCAGCCAGGAAATTGTTTGTTACCGCACTCACACAGACACACACACATAGACTAGTTGCTTTCTCTTGGAGTTCTCACTGACTTTCTTTTCTTTCATATTCCCTGCGCTTCAGCTAATTTCCAGAGGCTGTTGAAAACAAATGTTTCTTATGATTGCAAGTCAACCAGATAGTATTATGATCACTTTTTTATTTACCCGTCTGTCCTTACAACATCTGTAGAGAATCCTGGCTCGGACTCTCTGTCTTTTTATGTCGCTGATCTGTTTCTTCTCTTCATTCGACTCCAGTTTATCATCTGCATTTTGTCGTCTTTACCCCACTTTCCAAATTTCTTCTCCATATTACCCAATTCCATCTTTACTTCCTCCTTATTCCCATTCCCTGTCCCTGCTTTTCCACATTTCCCCTCCTCCTCCTCCTCCTTCCCCTTCATCAAATGTTATCCCATGCTGTCTCCTCATCCTTTACTTTCACGTCATCGTCCTTTCTCTGTAACTGTTTGCCATCTCCTTCTCCTTAATTCTCCCTTTTCTGTGCCTCCCGCTTTCACTCTCTCATTCTCCTGGGCTGGAGCAGCACATTTCCCGTAATACTTATGCCTCCACAAAACACCACATCCCTTTTTCCCTGAGTTGTTAACAACAGGAGCTATTAACATGACTCAGTTTTATGTTCCATGCTTGTCTGCAAAAGCATATATGTTCTCCCTTTTCTCTCAGTTTTTTTGCACCATTTTCCCCCGCACTTATCACCTCCAACATTGTTTTTTAACTTTATATATTCTATTTGTTGCACGTACTGTTTATTGTGCTGTATACTGTACTTCTCGTTCACAAGGGAGGAGGATAGTTTTACAGGTAGTTAATTGTAATTTATGTCAGAAATTCCAGCGTGACTAGTAGAAAACCACAAGGAGATTTTGTTCCGAGCCAAAGTGGCCACAGAGGAGGCTTCCAGTTTGTCCTCAGAAAGCCTAGACATAAGGAATTACTACTCTTGTGCCTTATAAACAGTCTTTACCTGCTCAGCTTAGCATCTTCATGAGCTGTTGAGTTCATTTGGTTTTACTTTTGCTTTCTACAGTGAGAGTGACAGTAAGGTAGAAAAGTGGAAGGACATAAGGAAAAATCTAGCTGTATATAAGGTTTGCAGTGTTTATAATTTGAGAGGAAAAGCGTAGAAAAGTGAACAATGCTGTCTGCAGGAAAACAAATGGATAAAAAGAGCAAAACAGAGATTCCATTCTTGCAGGAGTGAGTTTAACAATGTTTCCCCAGACCTGTATTTTCTTTCATCCTCTCTCTATGCCCCCATACCTTCCCCTCTTTCTCTCTCTCCCTATTTCTCCGTCGGCTTCAGAAGGAAACCCTATAGAATGTGGACTGTTGTAAAAAGGTGCCTTGGGCATCCAAGCCTTCCAAGAGTATTAAATGCCTTCTCCATCAGGCTACCAACACAGAGCTGTGGCCAAACTGTGCCATTGTAGCCGGTACATAATATATCCTGTCGCTCTTAATTCACAAACTATGCTCTGCCATGTGCACACGCATACAGACACCCCTTTCATGCGCATAGCAAATATGGCAATCTTTTCTCCATGTGGTTTATTGATTTGATATGTTAAGCAGTCATTGATGGATGGATGTGGTTGGTTCAATGCGTGGCTTTTCTGTTTGTGAGCAAATGTGTGACTGCTCCCATGTTTGAGTGTCTGCAGTATTATTTTATACACTGAATTTATGTTGGTTGTAACTTTAAATGTGGTTTTTAGTTTCTTTCTCTCTGTCTCTCTCCCTCTCTCACTTTCTTAACCAATCCCCCCCCACCCCACCCCACCTCACACACACGCTCCCTCGTAGTTGTGTACATTATTCGTGCGAAGCCATTGACTGCCAGGAACCCTTAATCCGCAATGCAGAGCTCAAGTGCAGCAGCCCTGGCCGCCACTTCTACAATGGAGACCGCTGCACCATCTACTGCAACTCTGGATACGTCCTGCAAGTCCACCAGGATGATGACATCATCAAGAGCCAGGTAAACACACTGCTACACACATGTTTAAACACACACACAGGCAGCACAGGAGCTCGGTGCAAAAAGAGGCACATAAATGCATAAATGTACACATGCAAACGCTTAAGTGCAAAAGCATTTCTACAGCATATGGGAACATGCGTGCAAACATGCATTCGTGAATGCACACATGAACATGCATTGATGCAAACTCAAGTACACAAATGGCCATAAGAGAGGAGTGCAAAAACGCTTTCTCTCTGCTCTCCTCTCTATCTCTGCATTTATTTTGTCACCTGCAAAAACTAGGCTTGGCACGGCAAGCCTCCAGGGAGGATGACATCATGAACATCCAGGTAGATGAGTGCTGCACTGAGGAGTGGAGACGCCCCAGTCTCCTCCTCTTGCTGGCTTGCTACACATATATAAACACACACACACACGCGCACACACACACACACAGACACAAACACACACACAAGCACACATATTCCGTACAAGCACAGACATAATAGTGTTTAGTCTCTTGCTGAGCATGCTGCACCATCACCTCAAACAGTCACTTTGTATCGCTACTCCACCGGGACGATGACATCATCGCATAGTGTCTGCTCCCTCTCCCTCCCTCGCTCCATTCCTGCTCATTTCGCACACATTGAAGTCTCTGTTAAAGGGCAGAGATTTGCTACCGCTCTCTCTCGCAGCAGCACACATTAAATGCTTCCATATCAATACCAGCACACATACAGTAAAGTACAGACAATCCCCTGCATAAACAGGACACAGATGCGGACAGATACAGTATACACACAGATGCGTGCGCACCACAAGTAAACAAACAAACAGGGTAGTTGACACCGCATTGTAAACCTTTTGGATTGGGGCCAAGCTGCTGTAAAGGCCATATAAACACTTTATCCTTCTCCACGGCTCTGTAAAGAAGTCTGCAAGACAATCTATTAATGCTCCCTGAGAGAGACGGGAGGTTTAAAGAACAAGGTAAATTTTGTTTTTATGTGTATTTCAGTCTGGAACTGTATGTGAGGGTGTGTTTGTGTGAGAGACAAGAGTTTTATAGAGTAAAAGAGAGGGGGAAATAATTATTTTATTTGGTATTCAGTCAGGATCCTGACCTTAACAATGTGTTCTTTCTCCCATCTTTCGCATGGCTGTTGCCGGGATCTGTAACTCGTCATAATTGGAGGGTTTCTTAAACCACAAAGTCGTTCAGCTGTCCCTCCGTCTTCCTCTTCATGGCCTTATTCACACATGCACATACTGTATCTGCACACGGAAAGAAGCATAAGTATGTGTGCGTGTATGTGCACAGACGCACATTCACTTCCACATCCATACATGCTGTATGTACAAACACGAGCCGAATAGTTTCTCCATTGAGTCTGCACAAACTTCTAATTGCATTAGATTTTGATTGACAGTGCACTATTGTGGCTATTCATCAATGTCAATTCATTTAGTGATAAATTATGCTTTTCAGAGGGGAGAGGCAGGAAAGTACAGAGAAAGTGGGGTGAAGGGGGGTCAGGAGAGAACAGAAAACAAAAGTAGGGCTGTGCCAAATATCAGTTTTTGGACTTTGAAGGTTTCCCACAAATGATGACTGACAGTTCAAAGGTATTTAGAGGACCTGTTATTTATGAATAACTTTTCGCATCCATTCATTCAATTAAAAGACATCTGGTCAGTTTTGTTGATTTAATACCAAATTAGCATTTTGCAGTCAATTCTAATAAATGATGCTCTGTAAAAATGCCCAAATCCTCTCCCTCAGTTCTGAAATCATTTTAAGCTTAGCCATGTAACATCAGTAAGGACAAGTAAATCATTGCAGTCAGCTGACATGCCGCTGGTGAAAAAAAAAGTTGGTGCTGCAAACTAGCTGTGCAGACTGACTGATGTTAATAATTATCATAACAGAATCCAATCTTTTTTTAACTCACCCTGTCTGCCATAGCAGGAGTGTCTTCTATTACAAGCTTGTTGATCCATTTCAAGTCCAGTCTTATATCCTCAAAGAGTGAAACAATTCTCTGGAAGATGATTTCACCAGTTGTGCATCCCTCCAGGGGCAGTCGCAGTCTCTTCCGAAAGCCTTAGTAGTTTGAACGCAGAAGCAGCCTCACAGGGCACCATTTGCTGTAAACCAAAGTTGTTTTTGTCCAGTAACTGCAAACCATAATTTATATAATTTCCTTTTTTAGTTCTGACACTAGAATGCAGCATTTTGAAGCAGGCTTCGCTTCTAGCTGTAGATTTGGGGGGTCAGCTATATGTTTCTTTCTGTAGCGACACAGCTGTGACTGACTCAACTGTACCACTGCAAGGCAATTGGACAAACAGTAAAGATTTGAGAGATACTCTGGACACATCCATTTGACATCAAATGTAATAAAGGGAATGTGCTTTATGTCAAGCAGTCTTAGAAAATATTTAAATCGATCTGGCCAAATACTCAGGGTACATCAGCTCTTACTTCTCATCACATGAGATAGTAGTTTAAAACCCCATGTAAAAACAACAAGAAGGTGACAAAAACAAATACAAAAACAATGTTACCTCAGATTTTCTTTCTCCCCTCAGTTCACACCCCTTTTTATCAGCCACACAAGTGCTTAAAGGACACACACACACCTCTGCGCTGAGGTTGATGGCGTGAAGCACAACCTTGTCTCCTTTCATTAACCAATTACATTCTTGTTTCAGTGATGTCAAAGTGGTTCTGGGAACACCACCGTCTTAAATAATGCTATCTTCAGAAGAAATCTGTTCCCCTCACTTGCTTGATTTGTATATGTGTCTTTTGTTATTATCTCCGCCAGGCGTAAGTCTGGATGGGGTGCTGTGTTCATCCGTGTGTGTGCATCTGTGTGTCTACAGCTAATCTTGCATACTATTGGACCCATTAGCCTAATAATTTTTGTGCACATTTGTGTCTGTATGCTCAAGGACCTTTAGGACTCATTTATGCTCCCTTTACATACGAAAATGTATACGTCAGTTTCAAACGATGTTACCATCACTGCCCACATACTTCCATGCGCCCTTTACGTTGGCATGGATGTAAACCAATATATCCACCAGGAGGCAGCCCAGAGTCAAAAGTTTATGACAACAACAAACTCAAAAACAAACATGGAGACTGTGGAGGAGATATTGATAATGTACATCTTGCATAAAAGACAAAAACAGAGGCAGCGTTGTAGGAGGCGGTGGTTGGTGAGGCCGTTAAATACATTGCGACTGGAGGACGGAGAATTCTTTTCTATAGTACTGCCGATGAGAGAAATTGAATTGTTATTTCTTCTTCGTGTCTCACTAGAGCTACGCATCGGGTAGTGACAGCAACACTGCCCCCACGGTTCCCGGTGGTACTGCTCCATTTGGCCCGTATCCGTAAGCTTTATGGAAACGTGCAGAAATATGGACGAAATGAACGCGGAGCACGGACAGAAGGCTCCGTCCGTATCCGGATCCATATTTAACGTTGAGCATAAATGAGCCCTTAGTGGTTTGGTTGATTCATAATTTTTGAATAAACTATTGTATTGACTAATCTTTTTTATTCTGTCATTGACAGCTGACTCCTCACTCCTCTTAACCGGCTGGTAGGGGCTGCACGTGATCAACAATTGCCAGTCATGTAGAAAAGGGGCATTTTTGGCAATCAGCAAGGCTAAAAACAAGCCTTACCTACACTCAAAAACTGACATCAATAGAAAAGTTTGGTCTCATTTTTAACCAGAGCATCTGCAGATTAACTCCATACCCTGTTAGTCATGATCCACCAAAGTAAGACAAGATATGAGGTAAATAGTCCCTTTTTTTAAAAAAAAAAAATCCAGCCCCCATCTTGATTTTACGGGAGCCAGCAGGGACAATTCAGTGAGATTCAACTCTGCTTTGTTCCACCACTGTCATGCATGCACACCGGACACACAGCCTGCCCTGCACTCCCTATTCCCCACCCACATGCCCCCAGACACACCTGGCGGAGATCTGCACTCTACTGAGAGAACTCTCTAGTTGCTATCTGTTTTTCTTATCTCTCAGTCTCTTTGAAATGGTTCAGGGACACTTAGTGCTGACACTAAAAAGATACTTCATTTAACAGGCTCTACAGGTTTTACAACTGTCCACTATAGAACAAACCTATAAACCCCAATTACCTGCCCACTATATGATTGCCCATCCACTTTCTTTTAATGACCAAAACACCATCTTTAGATCTTGTCGAATCAATGGTGAAAGTGTTCCACACATTAAGAAATAACTCCTGGTATAAAATGAGCCATTATATCCAATATAAATTTAAGGGAAACCGTCCTCCTCCGAAATACGACCACATAGGTCATACAGGCAGCTTATTACAACCCATATTACCATTTATTGTGAGGTGACCTCTGGTAGCCATAGTAATAATGACAGGAGCAAAGGAAAAAGCCAGGTGATGTAGTTTAAAGGGCGACAAAGTCTGCCTGTCAGGGTGGTAGATAGATAAAAAAACACAAGACTTTCAATTAGGAGATTGCTGTTTGTGTCCTGTATGAAACCAAAAGTCAATGTTGAGTCATTTTGACTATGTAGTATGTCATGGCGTATGTCAAATGATGTTAAGTCAGTAAAAAATGGTCTTATTTTAAACCAAACCATCTTCTTTTAAACCTAAGGAAGTAGTTTGGTGCAACTGCAGCTATTTCACAACGTTAACCTTAAAACTTTATATACAACCTTTCCTGTCATTTAGGTAGGGGGACACTGGTAGGGGAGCTATTTTGGGAAATGCTCCTGCAGGTCATATTTGAGGGTTGGAACAAACGACTTATGTGGGCGTATGGGTTGGAGGACTTGTTGATTTCAGGGCTAGTAGGAGCCATATCAACATATTATTTTGGTCATATTCATTTGAGTGGGCAATCAGCCAGCTCAGCTACCTTTTATGTGCATGTTTTATGGGCACCCAAATGAAGACGTCATGATGTTCTTGTGCCTGGCTTTTCTGT